GGTTTGTGTAAAGTATGTTAACATTTTTTTGCCGTGTTCAAAGTTATACAAAATCATAAGTCGAAAAATACTATTGACATTGTTAATAATACCTAATTACAGTTGATAAGTACGTTTGTGCTTTAGGACACTAATATAAACGATGTTCCATCCAACAAGTACTATATTTTTCCATCTCATTCACAGAATATATGGATAATTTGGATTACTTTAGTAAAATAGGTCATTTTTCCGTGTAATCTATCTTCAAATTAGCCTATTGGAAACTAAAGTTCATTTTTGAAAGATATTTGCTTTCGTGTTATTTATATGAGACACAAAAAGTTATTGGATTAGTGAATCATGTATGAAAAAAAGTCTCTGAATATGCAGTATTTCTTCAGCATGAATACTATGCTAAATAGTGAGTTGGATTTTGGTGAAGTTTTGTTCTCTGAAGTGGATGAATTGCAAAGAGAAAGGCTTCTATTAAAGAAAAACTTCGTCTCCTCCCAGAATGTCTTCGTCAGTAAAACCCCCAGCAAATGTAAGATGCAGACTACTAATCAGCTATCCAATGTTATGGAGAAAATATGATAAAAGTAAAAGGAGAATGGTGTACCTGATGACCACGATCAAGCCATTCAGCTCAGAAAACTAAGACTTCAAAACATCCACCTGAGCCACAAAAATCCGCCTCCTCAAGATAAATTCCATTATTTAATGTTTAATGGTTAGTGATGCTGTATTTTCAGAAATTTTTAATCTCATGTTCTCTCAATCCTTATAATCCTACGTAGTTTACAACACATTTGAACCTTTTGATAATATCATAGCTTTCACTTACTTAATTTAAAATCAGTCCCGTACTGTAGAGTCAGTACAGACAATGAAGTTTCAATCAAAATAAAAGTGAAAGTGTGTTATTCACTCGAATCGTCTTTATTAATCTGTTAAATATATTCCGTGTTTATGATAAGTTTAAAATCAGAGTTAGGTCAATTGTAATATATTTCTCAAATATTATGGGATAAGATTGCGGCGTAAATAGGTTTCCTTATACAAAAGACTCTTCTATGCCTACTTAATTATTCCGTTAAATTGTACAGTCATTTAAGGTCAAATTACATGTCTTAGTAATTGGATCAATACTTTCGGTAATGGGTTGTTCTTAGAACTGGAACGTTGTTCTAAGTAGCGTTTGTAACACATCGAGTAAGCTTTTTAGACCCATGGGTTTTTTTGTTCACTATATGTTCCACATGTATTGGTAACTCAAGTTTCATTCATAAACACTAATTCACATTTCAAAAGTTAGTTGAAATTTCAAGTACTTCCCAAAAATTTAACAGCAATATAATTGTTTTTCGCATGAAAGTATATTTTAACCATTGATTGAGTAACTAATTACAAATGAATATGTTATCAGAGCAAACTGCAGGTCTTATATTTTATATGTTTTTAAAACAAAATAGTAATTTTTTGTAAAAGTTACGATCAATTTATTTGTTCACCTATTTGTTTTTTTTCCAGCCGTACGGCAAACTACATAGCTCAAGTATTACTACGACCGAAAGCATCCGATTTAACTGGAAGTTTTAGGTAAATTAGCGTACATATTCTTCATTCCTAATCATTCATCGTATATACTTGAAACGATTATATGAATAGCTGCATAATCATATTAATTAGATAATTATTTGTTTACCAAAACATATGAATGATTGTTTTCATTTTAATCTCGTTCGTTTATAAATTCAGGGTAATGGGTTTGTATATAGGGTATGATTTAAGATGATAGTTAGTAAATATTATTATCGAAGATTTTCTGCATTCTTTCTGTTAGGGTCTAATAGTGCAGAGTGTAAATATGAAATCAAAGTCTCTCAAGAAAGTGTTTACTGTCTTTGGAAAAATAAAAACCATAAAATCCAGGTGTAGCAATGAACTGACAATGTAAAAATTCTTACACACTGCTATTTGCAGCATAAGTGTCATCTGTTACTCGCTGTTCTTTCCCTATTAATAATATTCATTTAATTCCAATCATACTGCTCTGGATAAATGTTAGACGTTTTCCACAGCTCGTTTAACGTTATTCGTGCGAAAAAGAACAAAGCACGCATGGCTAAATTGTTGTCCAATACGTCACGTCTGGTCGTAAGTTATCACCTCAGAACATCCCCTCAATCTATTTCGCCATTTAAGTTTAATGAATTTGTCATTAGTTTTAATATAGAAAAAAACTGTATCTCAATTCTTCGAAGGGTAAGCACGATCAAAAATGTATACAAGTAGTGCGGTCAACTTGCAAAATTAGTTAATTAAAGCAAGTCGGAAATTAGAAACTAGTTATGTATACACAGTTGAAGAAGTAGGTGTCTTTATTACTGATTTTGGCAACTGACTATTTGTTGCAATGAAAGGTAAGTCACTCAATTGATTAAACACTTAGTAGTAACCAATATCATAATTATCTAATTCTTTTTTGCCGACCGCATGATGTTGACCAAGTTGCACTGTGACCACTAGTGTCTAAGCGACTCAATAATAAACCCTCGACTTAAGTTTCATGTTATTATGTACTTTTCAGTAAGGCAAACGTGTAAGTTTGAGAAAACTAGTGCTCTCTGGTGGTTTCAAAACTATCTCATAAATATAGACAGATGTAGTAGGTTTAGTGCTTTTTGTGTAAATATTATCTCGAATGATTCTTTAGAATATCCAACCAAAAGTATTGACTACATATAAATTCATTTATTTCACTGTTTGCTTTTTAGACTATACAAAAAAGCAGTTTTACAAGATTTAGTTTCGCGTTGTACTTCACGTGGTTATGTTTTTCAAATGGAAATGATAGTATTAGCCTCTTCACTTGGTTACAAAATTGGTGAGGTATGTCTACTTGTACACATTAGTTTGAATTTTATTTTAAAAATAATTTTCATTCAATTCTAGGTTGGAATTACATTTGTAGATCGATTTTATGGAGAGTCAAAACTTGGTGGGACAGAAATTATTCAGTATATAATGGGATTATTACATCTTTTCTGTACTTGTTAATTTTCCTTTTTTTTGAAAAAAAAACGTAATTATAATTCTACTGTATGTACTCGGTTTAGATAATAAGAATTTTTCCGATGCCTCATTGCAAATCTATGCTTAATACTTTACTGAAAATTCATATTCATTCACAATGAATATTACAGAATAATGGCGTAGTTATCTTAAAATGTAATTTTCAAGTTACGTCAATATAATATTTTTTCCTGAAGTTAGCTCCCATTATGAACTTAACTGAAAAATCATCAGAAACCAAGGAGCACTAGACAATTGTTTTAGTAATTGTGATTAGTAGTTTTTAATAATTCCTTCGCTGTATTCAGTTTGAGATGAAATTTTCACAAACCCTGTATGTTAATAATAACTGTGGTTAGTTCCCAGATAGATTCCCAGTGATCTATGTAGTTTAACTTTGTTGAGAGTGAAACAGATATCACGAATGGTGTTGGACAGTTGTCCTGCAATACTATAAACTGACCTAGGTTGTAAATATGGACTATAGAGCCGTGAAGTAGTAAAATAAAAGTATAATACTTGCTGTGAGACCGAAAGACTTGGATCCAATCTCGAGTATTTGCATCGCTGAGAAGTCAATAAACGAAATAAACGGGCTCTCCAATGGTTACTGATTTGCAATGGCCCTCCAACTGTTGTAGTTTTGTAACAGAAGGTAACTTCAGATTTGACAAAAATATAATAACTAGATTTAGGGTGACAGTTAAGTATCCCAATTAATATATTAACTACTTGTGTTAAACGTTTTCTATTAACTTTCATACAAAACTCTAAGCTCGACTCGTAGAATGAGACATCACGTACACTACTTTTGTATAAACTACTTTGGCCATTTTTTAGACTGAAGCTTTTGGAAGAATATCAGAGTCCATTAATCTGGAATATTACAAAATATTTATAGAATTGTATAAGTTTTAAAGTCGGACTTTGATATTAATGTGAATAAAGGTTGTTCGTTCTTTTATTTATTCTTTCCAACTTGAGATCACCTGGAAGCTGTATATGTCAAACTAAAATCTTATCTGAACAAGTTTATAAAAGCTCAGATAATTCCTATATTTCATCTGTGATGTGATACGTTCGTAACGATAAAGTACTTCTTGCTACTATAAACATTCTTACGTGTGTTTCAGGAAATATTTTCTTGAAGTGTTTTGAAAATAAGTCAGAAATCAGTTTTTAAAAATGTCCAAATCAGTACATGGCGTTACTTCATGAACTCATTAACTGCTGATATGAGTCGTTTATGGAGCTTCAGATAATCTGTTTGAAGCCCATAAGATAACCTTACTCACTATTTGAAGACTACATGACTTGGTTTAAGAAAAGTTGGTGCATGTGCACTTGTTCTTTGCTAAATCTTAAATCTGTGTTTGATTCACTAAACTGTTTAATTTGCTTTTTTGGGCATTATTTCTTATCCTCAGCTTCTAATTACTATAAGTATTATTATCTTTACGGCTTTATTTTTCATCTTTCTGATCCTTTGACGTATAAATGTAAAAAGAATGCAAATTCAGTCAAAATACTGTGCTGTTTTGAATTATATTTACCTACATTTTTATCAGTACATATAGCAGTATTAATTAAATTACAGTTTTAAGTTTTCATAAAACTGTTGAAACAATCTTTCAAAATTAGGCGAAATATTTAAGAAATTTTTAAATTCAACCAAAATATAATAATATATTCATGTTCATGTTTAACTACATTAAATAACCAGATATTGTATATTTATATAAAGATGAATTATTGGCAGACCTTCTTCATTTAACACAAAATAGTGGCTACTTATCAATGGTATTTTCGTTCTACATGAACTATTTAGGATTTTCTGAACCAATGTATTAGTATATAAAAATATTGAAATAATGTGATTTTCTATTGGCATCATTTCTTTTAATCAATTAATTGCAGTATACTTCATTATATTCTCGATGGATTTATGTTTTAAATGCCTTATTTTTAGTAGAAATTTCTACCTTTGGTGATTTACATGGGGACTCATAAGACTGAACTGAATGTATTTGTGCTTGAGTTCGTAAATGTGTTAACTTCTGGCATATTTCCGATGTGTTTTTTCGATTCTCTTTTGGTTTATTATTTACTAATAGTTCTTTAGTCATTCTAAGACCGTTTCTATATAATTTTATAAACTCGTTTTTACCCAATGTGAGTCGTTGGTTCACCAAATTAATCAAAGGATCTGCGTAAGTTTCTTCTACTTTAAGTTTACTTAAATTTTCATGAATTTCAGCTTCTTCTCTGGTAACAACTATAGTATTCCATGGTGACCATGGTTCATTAATATCCCATCGAGTCAGTGTCAAATCAAATAGATTTGTCCAACCTGATAAAACCGAGCGACTTTCCCAAATTTGGTCTATTAAAAATCGTATGTCTTCTTTATCGATTAAGAAAGGCAGTGGATTTACACATACAGTCTCTTCATGTGTCCCGTCAATAATGGCATCTGTTTCCGGTCTTGGAGACTCACCTCGCTCTAACCTCTGTAATTCTTCCTCTCGTGCGTTTTCTATTGCCACTCTTTTCATCTTTTCCACAAGTCTAGTCTCATTTTGTCTTAGTTCTGTCAGAATATATTGATATGGTTCAAGATCTAATCTCTCACGTCCTCGATTATCACTTCTTCTACATGATTTACACTGGGATAGTTTGTTCGCTCGTGAGCTGAGTGGGAATAAGTTCTTCTTTAAGTATCTTTGACAAGAGATACAGTATTGGATGTCATCTACTAACAAGGGTACAGTTGTTTCTTTTACGTTTGTTGGTACTGTAAGGTACTTACCTACTTCCGGATTAACTTGTGGTGATTTTGCAAACTGCACGAATCTGTTGCGAATCCTTTGTCTCAGTCCGGATAAAATTTTACCTGGAATATCACGCATAATTAGTTCTGCTTCTCTGTCAACCAATCCCATTATCTCCTTAGAAATCTTTGTATTGCATGAGCTCACTGTTTGTTTCAGTGTCAGAAGTATATCTAGCCTTTCATTATGTGTTAGATTTTCCAAACCTAAACTTTCATAAATATCCAGCAATTCCTTTGCACGAATCGTTTCAGCTGTGGCTACTTCAGTTATTCTTCCATTGACTGAGGATATCCAACGATGAGGAGCTGAAGCATTTTTTAGACAACGAGATTGATTGTTTTCAGCAACTTCCTTGCTTCTATTTATTTGATGTTTATTTATAACTGATATCAATTCTGCCTCTTCATCCAAAAGCAACGCTAGAGCTGCTTTCTTTTCTGCTTCCGTTAAGTTTTTTTCTTCTATTTTATCTACTTCTTCTTTACGCCACAATTCTAAAGCGTTATATAATCGATCAAAATCAGTCACAGTTTTAGGATGAAGCCTTCGCTCAAAATCATGTGCGATTCTTCTAGCAACCTCATTTTTGTATTTTTCAGATTGTGATTTTTCCCAAGCAATGTAATCATCCCTTATTTTTTTAAGACGCGCTACTTTTCTTTTTGCAAGCCATCGGCGTAAATACTTTTGAATGATTATAATCTACAAAAGGAAATTGAAAAAGATGTCTTATTCTTTTAAGATAAATTCTTATATTTCGAAAATGTTTATGAATAAATAAAACACTTTATAGCCGCAGTTGTACAGCAAAATAAGCTTCAAATTGTTTCTCATTATTATTTCGGAAATCAAAATGCATTACGCTTGAATATACTTCCAAATTATTTAGAATACGACTAGTAAAAGTTTGACCACTGTGTACATAGTTACTCCGAATTTTATCGGTTATTCGTTTGCTAGTGGAGTATTTTGTTAGCGTACGGTCGTTTCATATCCTTAATCGTGTATTCCAGTTACGTGAATATCGTTTTTTATTATGATATCTGTTTGTTCATGTCATATAAGTGCACTTAGTGAGCAACCATTCCGTTTGTTAGTCGTGTATATTGATAGGTTAACAATCGTCTCATTGTTTTACCAGTAAATAGTTGTGAATATTTCTAAAAATGTAACGAATGAAGAATAAGGTTGGGGCATGTAATTTAAAAGTAGGTTTTCTATTGTTAAGTATGTTAGTTTCTAACATTTCTACTGACCGAACCACCATAAATAAGATGCATAAAGTTTTATATCTCAATATTGATTTCCATCCAACAGTTCCATTTTGTACTGGAAAATCTGTCAATAATGACAGTGTTTAGCAATTATTCGACACTGAATATCAGCGACTGCATCTCCCTGTAATCAAGTGATTAGGAGACCACACATTTCTGGCATAAAACCAAGCTCTGCAGAATGTCGTTCAAGACCCAACCATAATAGTGGCACCATTTCTGATTCCTGCACTGAAAAACGTTGGCCTAGATTAGGTTCTAACCTCTATAATATTGCGAATATGTTTTCACAACAAAATTCAACATCCACTCGGATAATCTGTGTTGGTTTATTTATGAATATTTCATGACATTTACTTATGTAAGTTCAGGTTTTAAATTCCGTGAACTCAAGTACACTAATCCCTTTAAATCTGGATTACTTTCATAATAAGTCTTGATTATAAGATAGTCACAACTGCCTTCTGTGACAGATATCCGAGGACTTTTGACTAGCTGATTGTCATTACTTATATCCGTCAGAAGGCTTTAGTTGTACGTATACATATACCACGCTAGTTTTGTCTGTATATGATTACTCCCTCAAGAAATCCTAGTTATTTCTGGTTAGTCTATTTATTACATATATCCTTCGGTTCAGTACACAAGTGAAACCTTGCCCTAACAGTAACTACGTCCAAATGAAGTTATTTATTTGTTAAGGAAGTATCGATTGAGTAACGGTAAAACTAGAGTCTATTACCAAGTTCTGATGAAAAGATACAAATGCAGAGAATTGAATATGCAGCTTGTAAATTGTTTAAAAATCTGATTGTTAACTTTCTGAAATAATAACCCGAAATTCTACCTATTTAGTTGTTTCAGTCTATAGATTTCAAAAAGAATTGTTTAGCAGATACCCATAGGTTAATTGAGGTATACAATACACCTTTGCTCAATTATTAGGATTCTTAAATATGTTTGGAAGTAAAACGAATTCTACTACGGGTTACTTTAATAAATGGAAATCTGGAGTTGAGGTTTTATTCGAATCACCGACTAGTAATTAGGTATACCTTCACCAATATTAGTGTCCAAACCTGAAGCTACATTGTAATTATAAAAGCATCTACAGGAATCAAACTACAAGGAATTGGTGTTGGCCAACTAATAATGCCATGGAAATTAGCTATATAATCAAGCAGCACTATCGGTGTATGAGTTTAAATTCAAAGAAGGGTATCTAGATATATCAATTTATATCTTATTATCCCCAACTTTACCTCCATCAAATCTCACTAATGTATCCAGATACAATATTTCCTATTGCATATTTAAATTCCTAGGTTATTATGTAGTTCTACGTTTCTCTAAGATATATGCATCAGTATATCCGTATCTGAATGACGGTGAAGGTGGATAGCAAATATTGCAGATGTAATTCTCTTGTATAAAATGCTTCGTCAAAAACCTAAAGAAATAATTTGATTACGATGATAAGTAGTTAGAAATGTGTGGATAAAGTACGATAGGTTGTGCAACGTGTTATGCTTGCTCTAACTGATAGACAAATTCTACAAATGCCAACACCGTCAAGTCTTTATTTTGTTACGTAATTGTCAATCGAGTGACTGTCTCATCATAAGTGAATTTGAAAGTCATCTTACTTTTGTTAGTACTCTGGCAAGATATTCATCTGCTGTCTCATATGGTCCAGGGGTTTGTATTCTGTCCTGACTGTTGGCAACAAAAATCCAGGCTTCGGGAATTGGGTGGACATTTGATTTACTGTCATGCTTCCGAAATGATGCATCCTATATGTTTGTGTGTCTCTGGATGTTTGTGCGGCTTCCAACTTTTTTCTTCGTATAGGTTTAGTTTGTGAAGATGCATTGTGATATATGCAGCTGGTAATTGTATTCTTGTATCCTCCAAGAAATGGTTTATGATGATCGTATGGTAACCAATGTATGTGGATATTTTCAGCATCTTTGTTTGTTCCGTCTTTCTTAGGAACTAGCATTATGTTTTCTTGACTGTGAGGATCTTTTGTGACAGCAATCTTCCTCCCAATGATTTTGATAACAAGACCAGACGTTAAAAATATTTCACGAAATCCTAACTTTATTTTAAAGCAATCTACAGCGCTCCCAAGAGAAAGGGTAAAATATAACAACCTATTTTCATTTGCCAAGGTAATGAGTGTGGTATCGGTGTTTGCCACTTCACCATTGTAATAGAGCAATAAGTTTTCATGACTTATACCCGTGTCTTTAACCAGTAATATTTTAAGGTCCATAATGAGGAATTTTTCAGGGACCAAAAATATTTCCAGTGAGACTCCATATTCCGTGTTTATATGAACTGTCACACTGTCCTTGGGCTCGCTATAAAAATTGATAGACAAACTATCAGTATCACTTTTCTTATCAAACATATTTGTGCACGACGCAAGTTCGTTTGAAACATTTGCTGGCTCACTTGTGTGAGAAACTACATCCTCTTGTTTGGCGTTATCGATGCACTTATGTAAAATATTATCATGTACTATGGTATCTGAAACATTATAGTGTTTTGTGTTCTCGGCATTTGCTTCGAAATCCTTCTGGTAGACATTTGGTGTTTCGACAGCGTGATTTTCATATATTTCTTCAGCATCTCTATTACTATAGTGTTCATCTTGTTCGTTCTCACTTTTTGTCCCATCCATGATTTTTCCGAGAATCGTTGGTGAAGAAATGTTTCAGGAGCAGATAAACTGTAGTTTCTTATTAGTAGACAGCAAGTGTACTAAAAAAGAAACAACAACGCAAATAAAATCAGACAGTTCTAGGATTACCACTAAAGTTTATAGAAGAGTGAAATACTCACGATTTTTAGGAAGACTCTGCTGAGTGTGAATGGGATTGGATTGAACTAAACAAAAGACTGTGAAATCAGGTAAACCACCGTGATGATCTCACGATTTTAAAGGTCAAATAACGTTTTCTGCCCGAAACAGTCAGCATTTTGATTAAAAACATAAAAGTAAAAACCTGATTTCCTTTACAGTCTAAATGCTATATAATGTACAATGTTGTCTGCAGGTCGAAATTCTTAGTTTACATAAACAAACTACAATAGCCGTCTCAGCCAATTAGTATCCAAAGCATGTCGACCGTTTATTTTTCCCCTCAGATGTCAAGTGCGTGGTTTACGCGCGAGTAGCGGAACTCCGGTTTTCTAGAGTCTGCTTTTTATTTTCTCTCATTCATTCTGTCCATTCGGATTAATTGACTTATTGTACTGCTTATTCCTATTCTTTTTTCGCTATAATGAGATGATCAGCCGAAATTAAGGTACACGTATATAGGTTACTTACCTAAACTTTAATGACTTCAATCAACAAAAAAACTGGAATGATTCACGGCTAAATGAAGAATCGACAAGAATACCTCTGAAAAAACTTCGGAAATGCAACTAAATAATTATTATTTACAAAAAAAGTACAAAGCCTGGGTTTAATGACGAAGTGATGTACTATGGATAACGTTTGCACGTATAGCTCATATATATAAGTAGCTACGTTCGAGATTTCCAACGACCGGTCCATAGGTTATATTATATATATATAAGGTAGCAGCTTCGGTCGGGAGTAGTAGTAGTAATAATGGCGATCAGAATGTTTAGCTCACTGAACCTGTGGAGATGTTATCCTTTACCTAGTTACATTTAACTCCTTAATAACCACTTTTTAAGTAATAGAAACGGTATTCATGGAAATGTATACACAGTTTAACCGTACTGTTAACGTAGTAATGTAGACTTAAGCTAACAAAAAGGGAAATAAAAACGAACTTTTGGGAAAAAACTTGAAGGAAGTCGATGTAAATATTGGCGACAATTCACCTAAATCTCAGACTTTCTCCAATCCAAAGTTAATAGGGCATATATTTCAAAAAATTTATCCATCGTGAAGAAACGTCTCTAAATTAACACCCTTCCCCTCCCAAAAGGTCTACTAACTTCAAACTTCACAACACATTCTGCTCTTCCACAAAATTCACACCAAATTGTTTACTATTCCGCGCTATCATTAAGTGAAACAGCTAATTTTTTGGCGAAACGCGACGCACCAGTATACTGTATACTTACAAATTCTGTCCTAAATTCTCTAAGTCGAACAAATTATATTCACACTCGACAACATACTGGTTAAAATGATCACAACTTATTAACAGTTTTCGCACACAGTTTTAAATGTCAATTACACTAATTAACAATGAAATGTCAACGCTGTAAGTGACAGAAAACGTCTTCATCCATGTATGTTTTAATGAGTACAATATTTAAAAAATGTTAGTGGTAGGTCTACAGACACGAATGGAGAGAATTTCTTAGTTGAAACGGGATATTCTTGCATATCAACGTAAATCTGCTACATAAAGGTAGCTTCAGCGTACTGAATCAATGTAGTAAAATACCAAAACTCGATTTCTGAAATTCTACTCGAATGTTTACTTCGGTACGTTCAGCAACTTAAGTTGCCGAATTTCCAGGAGTAGTACATAACTGAATAAATGAGTTAAATCTTTAAATAATCTGATGTTGAAACTCGAGAGTTGCAATGGATTTAAATCAATTGTAAAACTTCATTAAGTTTTACTTTAAAGTCAAGTGTAATTACACTGCATTTTCAGACCCACGTTATTATGTCGAAGTCATTATATTTTAGCCTGTTCAACTTCAAACAGCCATTTCGAAAATTCCATCTGGCCTCGTCTAATTTTTAAAAAGTTTCATAATTAACCGGAAAATCGAATTACTTTACTTGCCACGTATATTTATTTTGAGCGCTTTTGTTTCCTTGCCTCCTCAATGACCTTACTTCTAATATTTTTGTAACAAGTTGGAAAAACAAGACAACTTATTTAATTCGCATATTGGCCTCAAAGAACAAATTCAATTTTTCACTTCTGTTACACTTCTTTTACCAAATTATTCGCGCTTAAATTAACAGTTATGTTGAACCATTTCTTTTCTTGCACCGATTCACGAGGAAACTTGACTGCTCGATATGAGAGATAGCTTTCTAGAAAAAGGGTGTAAAAATAGTGCTTATCAGTGAAGAAGAGGGATTATATGTTCATAACAATCAAACTAAAAGGCAAAATTTGAAGAAATATGAAGACATTAATTCCTTATTTTTGTCAATTACCGATACATGGTGTAGAACAAGGTTAGGCTAGAGAAAGAATAATATATTTAATATGAATAGAAGATATAAGGTAACATTCAGCAGGGACCACGCCTGCATGGCCGGGTCATGCCGTTCGATCAAATCCAAGTCATTCAATGGATTCTTCCCGCCTTCTCATTCGTTAGGTATTTATTCGCGTTAAATATTGAATATCTATTTTCCGAGTTGTTTCGTGTTCAGCTTTGAGGATTGTGTGGTTATGTTCCGATGCCGCTACACGTACATCTTACTTTCCTCCATCCTATTAGTAAGTGAACTTGGCTTAGGAAAATATGTGCTGTAGCATTTCACAACTATTGACTTAGATTACCTTACAAACTACCTATTTTGCTTATACGACGCTAAGTATGCGGGACAATATTCACATAAATGGCCAGAGAAATGTCACTGAACACTAGACAAATCATCCGGTCACTGAATATCGAGCAAACCATGCGTACCTATTAAAGTCAAGAACAACAAGCGCGCGTCAGTCAATCAAGTGACATGAACTGGCTCATGCGCTGGTGGTAACGCTATCTTCTCTGTATTCACTCTTACAAATATATTTTCGTGATAACGTCCTTTATGTTATACGAGTGTTCAAAGCATCTATCATACTTTGATACGTCGAAGAGGAAATCTTTTTTATATAGCTCTAATCACTCGACGTAGATCATTAATTATGATAATCTACGTCTCTACCTCTGTTGCCCACCACAAAATCAATTTTAAAAAACCGTTTCCTACATAAAAATTTTTTTATACACATAATAATTATCATTATATGTGATTTTACCGCGAGTTTAAATTTAATTGATATTAACAGTTACATTCTGCTTCTCAAATTTGTGTTTGATTAATCGTTTTGCTTATGATGTACCTTGTTTAAATCCTCATTCTTATCCACGACATTTTATTGCACGAATAGTTTTTCGCCGTTCATATAGATTCTGATGAAGTTATGAAAGATTCGATGGGAAAACCATTTATTAATGACTTTGATTGTAATGCTTATGGGTATGTACAGTTATTGCTTATTTCCTTATTAGTACTATTATTATGATAGACCTTACCCGAAAATTGTATATGTCATTATGCGACTTCCTAATCTATGAGTTCTAAAGTAGAAATCATATAATTTTCTACCTAGGCTCGTCGTATCGTAACAAAGAAAAATATGATACTTAGTACATCTGAAGATCACATTTAGGCTGAAAATGGGATAAAATGTTCAATGTGAATGGTGACAAGTTACATAGAATGACCACTTCTACGAGCCTGCGCCATGCCATTCGATTTGTTGAATATCCCCTCGTTCACCATTGTTGGTCTTCTCCTCGTACCAAGTTTTGAATATCTGTTTACTCAGTTATCTTGTGTTCAGTGTAAGGGATTGAGTGTTTAGGACCGATACCAATACAAGTGTATTCTAGATGGCACATGAACCATATGCAACAAAACGTCGGAGCGGTACCAAACGGACATTGAACAGCTTAGTTTAGGTGGATGAGATTAGCAGAAAACCTCATGGTGATTGCAAAATATTAAAGCTCAAATATTTTTTACCTTCCTTGTCCTTGTTGGGCATCATATTTCCTATCGTCCAGTGCTGAATTTCGGAAGGTTCGGATGTTAAAAATAAGGAACTCGCGCTGCAACTGTTCTGTCCCACGATCTAAAATCAAAACTGAACTCAACCACTCTACGGGCCATTTGTACATATAGGCGAGGGGTAGCCAACGTCACATAGATTAAGCGAAATCTAACATAGGATCGTGGACTGGAAATTCAGATATGACTGATGCAATATGTGAACAACGTTGTCCTTCAGTGCATTTTCAACTAAGTTGTTCTAAATTCAGTACAATGCATTCATGTGTTTTTTGTTTTCAGTCCTGACATAGTCATGGCATAAAGAGTATGCACCGACGGGTCAGGGCATTCATTGATTCAAATACTGCACACTATACGTTCTGCCTATATGAAATTGCTGCCAATTTACGGTCTCAGTCTACCAGACATGGAACACTCATTTTTAGTTTCCATTGGACAGTACGCTTTAATATCAGTGAAAGGTTGGAAAGTATGTGTTTCTTACGACCTATATTTTTGTCAAACAAGAGAGTACGTGGCTAAAACCTTGTTGATAAATGTGACTCAGAAACTACCACCACAGTAGATACTTGTTTACCGGTGGACCTGTGACCAAGTATGGAATAAATAAGCTACACATGGTCATGATTCCTATAAAAAGACAATAGCTAAGTAGGAAGTAATTATATCATGTTCTGAGCAGTATTAGGAAGTTATTGTAATTCGAATTTTTAGGCATAACGGTTCCATAAAGTCATATAGTTATGTTAATCAAACCTTCATAGGATCCTTTGCACGAAACTAAGAGTAGCTACAGTTCAGCCATTTGACTATCGTACGACAACTACGAGATTTCAGTAGTAAAAATGTCCAGGTATACATTTTGAAACAACTCG